AATAAATGATGCAGGAAAAACTGCATCACTGGAGTTTTCTGGACAGCCATATGCAAAAGAATTAAGTTGAACCACTATCTTACATTATACAAAAATTAACTCAAAATGGATTAAGAACTTGGACAAAAGACATGAAACCATAAAACTCCTAGAAGAAAATATAAGCAATATACTCCTGGAAACCACTCTTGGCAATGAGTTCAGATTTGACACAAAAAGAAAAACATAACAACAAAATATAAAACAAAGTGTGGCTACATCAAACTGAAAAGCTCCTGTACAGCAAAGGAAACTGTTAACACAATAAAAAAGCAACCTATCCTATGGAAGAAAATATTTGCAAATCACGTCTGATAAGGGATTAATATTCACAATATATAAAGAACTCATATGACAACAGCAAAACAGTTCAATTTAAAACTGGCAAAGGATCTGAATGGATACTTTTGCAAAAAAGACAGACATAAAGATAGCTAAGAGGTATTGAACAGGCATTCAACATCACTAATTATCAGGGAAATGCAAATGAAAACAGCAATGGGATATTATCTCTTTGTTAAAATGGCTATTATCTGAAAGACAAGGAATAACAGCTGTTGGCAAGGATAAAGAGAAAAGGGAACTCTTGTGCACTGTTAGTGAGATTGTAAATTGTGCAAGCACTATGAAAAACATAATGAGGTTTGGGATTGGCATGTACATACTACTATATTTAAAACAGCTAACCAACAAGGACCTACTGTATAGCACAGAGAATTCGGCTCAGTATGCTTTAATAACCTAAATAGGAAAAGAATTTGAAAAAGAACAGATATGTATATGTGTATAACTGAATCACTCTGCTGTACACTTGAGAGTAACACATCATTGTTAATCAACTATACTGCAATACAAAATTTTAAATATTTTTAAAAGATAATAAAATAAAATAGAACTACCACCCAATCCAACAATTCTACTTCTGGGTATTTATCAGAAGGAAATGAAAATCTAACTCAAAAATGTATCTGTACCTTCATATTTATTTCAGAACTATTTACAATAGCCTAGACATGGAAATGACCTAACTGTCCACTGATGGATGAATGATAAAGAAAGCATGGCATACACACACAGAGAGCAGAATGTTACTCAGCCATTTGTGACAACACAGATGGACATTGAAGGCACTATGCTGACCGAAACAAGTCAGAGAAAGACAAATACTATACACTCGCACTAAAAAACAGAAATCCAAAAAACAAACAAAAATACTGAACACACAGAACAGGGCACAGATTGGAGGTTGCCAAAGGTAGGAGGTGTGGGGTGCGCAGAATCGATGAAAGTGCTCAGAAGGCCAAACTTTCATTGTAAAATAAGATCTGAGGATGTAATGCACAGCACGGTGATTATAGTTAATATTACTCTATATTTGAAAGCTGCTGAAATTCTCATAAGAAAAAAAGTTTTTGTAATTATATGTGGTGACACATTAACTAGACTTATTGTGGTGATCATTTAACAATATATAGAGATACTGAATAATTATGTTGTACATATGAACCTAAGATAACATTTTATGTCCATTATATCTCAACAAAAAAATAAAATAATCCAACAACATTCTATATACAATAAACTCACTTCAAATACAATGACATAAGTTTACAGTAAAAGGCTAGAAATAGTTATAACATGTAAACATTAATTTGTTTTTAAAAAGTATGAGTAGCTATGCTAAAATCACATAAAGTCAATTTCGGAGCAAAGAAAATTACTGGAAATAAGTAAAAACATTACATAATGATAAAGGGGTCAATCCATGGAAAGTATAACAATTCTAAATGTGTGCATACCAAACCACAGACCCTAAAAATACAGAAAGCTAAAACTAATGAAGCTAGAAAGAGATAAATATATCCATAATTAGAGTTGGAGTTCCTAATTCACTCTATTTCAGGGACTTGACAAGAATTATCAGACAAAAATTAGCAAGAATATAGAACTCAACAACACAATCAACCAATATCTAGTTGACAAATATAAAACATTCCACTCAGAAAGAAAAGCATGCACATGTTCTTCTATAGTCTATAGAGTATCTACCAAGACAGATCATATCCTAGGCCACAGAACAAATCTCAACAAATTTAAAAGAATTAAAATCTGTAATGGTCTTTATCTTTCTGGCTTACTTCGCTCTGTATAATGGGCTCTTTAGAAAGATGGTAACGAGAACCCTATATGCAAAACAGAAAAAGAGACTCAGATGTATAGAACAGACTTGTGGACTCTGGGAGAAGGTGAGGGTGGGATGTTTCAAGAGAACAGCATTGAAACATGTATATTATCTAGGGTGAAACAGATCACCAGCCCAGGTTGGGTGCATGAGACAAGTGCTCGGGCCTGGTGCACTGGGAAGACCCAGAGGGATCGGGTGGAGAGGGAGGTGGGAGGGGGGACCGGGATGGGGAATACATGTAAATCCATGGCTAATTCATTTCAATGTATGACAAAAACTACTGTAATGATGTAAAGTAATTAGCCTCCAACTAATAAAAATAAATGGGAAAAAAAAACTACATATGACTGAATGAAAATTCAAACACACATATCAAAACTTGTGGAATCAGTTAAGGCTGTGCTAAGAGGAGAATTAATAACACTAAATGTATATATTAGAAAAGAGAATGAAAATTCTCAAATCAATGACACATTCCCACTTCAAAAAACTAGAAAAAAAGAGCAAAATAAGCTCAAAGAAATAATAAAGATAATTCAGGATAAAAGGGAAAGAATAAAACAAAATCAATTAAACAAAAGCAAGTTCCTAAAAAAAAAAAATCAATAAAAATTTACAAACCACTAGTAAGACAGACTACCAACTATCTAAATAAAATAGAAAGCTAAAGTAGTCCTATTACTAATTTTAAAAAAGTGAATCTGTAATATAAAATCTCATAGTCTCCAGGTTCAGGTACTCTCATTAGAAAATACTTACAAACATTTAAAGAATTAACACCAATTTTATACAAAATATTCCAGAAAACAGATGCAGAGAGAATATTTCTCAGTTCATTTTATGAATTCAGTATTACCCTACTATGAAAAGCAAACAAGACAATACAAAAAGAAAGTTCACTCAAAAAGGAACCTGTATTTAAATATAAAATGTATAACTATAATTTAGAAAAAAAAGAAAATAAGATAAAAAGTGAGACAAAGAGTTCTAAAAGGTGATATCAAAGAAGCACAACCTATAAAGGAAAAACTGATAAGCTGGACTCTAAAAGTCTGATTAACTGAGTGAAAAGATAAGCTGAAGACTGAAAGAAGAATACCATTTATATGTGGAATCTAAAGTATGATACAAATGAGCTTACTTACAAAACAGAAACAGGCTGACAGTCATAGAAGTGAAATATGGTTACTAAAGGGGATAGAAGGGGGAACAATAAATTAGGAGTTTATGATTAACAGATACAAACTAGTATATATAAAACAGATAAACAGGGTCCTACTATACAGCATAGGAAACTATATGCAATATCTTGTAATAAACTATAATGGATAAGAATTAGAGAAGAAAAATATATGAATCATTTTACTGTACATCAGAAACTAATACATTACAAATTAACTACTTAAATTTTTAAAAATAAAACACAAACAAAAGAAAAAGAAAGACTGAAGAAAATAATTGCAAACCATATATCTGACAAAAGATTAGTATCTAACAATACCATAATGAGACATCACCAGAAAATGATCGGAATGGCTACAGTAACACTAAATGCTGGTAACGATATAGAGATACAGAATTATTCATACACTACTGGTGGGAATGAAAATGTTATGACCACTCTGGAAAACAGTTTGGGATTTTCTCATAAAACTAAACATGCAACTATTGCACAACTCCTGCAGCTGCTCTCCTGGACATTGATACAAGAGAAATGAAAATTTATGTCCACACAAAAATATGTACACAAATGTTCATAGCTGCTTTAATCATAACCAGAAACTGAAAATCCAGATATCCTTCAGAGGTGAAAGGTTAAACAAGCTGCGGTACATCCCTACAATGGAACATTACTCAACAATAAAAAAATTCAACTATTAATACATACAACAACTTCAATGAGTCTTCAGAGAATTATGCTGAGTGAAAAAAGCAAACCTCAAAAGATTACATACAGTATGATTCCATTTATATAACATTTTTAAAGTGACAAAATTATTGAAACAAAGAACAAACAAGTGATTGTCAGGAGTCAAGGATGAGGCTGAGGGAACTGGAGGGTAAGGATGCGGCTCTAAAAGGGCAACATGAGAAATCTCTGCAGTGATAGAAATGATCTTTACCTTGAGTATATCAATTTCCTGGTTGTAGTAGTATACTAGTAGTTAAAGATATTTCTATTGGGGGAAATTGGAGAAAAAGTACATGGGATTTTTCTATATTACTTCTTAAAAACTACACAAGTCTATAATTATCTTAAAAGTTTATTTACAAAACTGGGATGACACTAAAACAAAATCTGGGAGGATATTTACAACTCTACAGGCATATATTAGAAAAGAAGAAATTTCTCAAATCCATGACCTCAGTTTTCACCTTAGAACACCAGAAAGAGAAGATAAAATGAAACCCAAGATTAATCAATAGAAAGGAAATAAAAAAGACCAAATCAGGAATCAATAAAATAAAATATAGGAAAACAATACAGAAAAATATTGAAACCAAAAATTACTTCTTATGAAAATCAGTACAGTTAATAAACTTCTAGCTAGACTAACCAGGAAAAAAACTGAAAACACAAAATAACCAATATCAAGGATTTTAAAATGGACATCAATACTTATCTCACAGACATTAAAAATATACCAATTAATTTGATGACATGGGTTACTCATGTCTAAATAAACAATAAAACTTATTTGGTCATAAATATTTCACTTACCTGAAATGTAATTGGTATTAATATAGTAAATAATGAACCAAAAATTAAGGATACATTCGTATAGCACCAGTTCTCGTCCCAATAGCCAAGATTTTCTGAACTGGATCAAAGGCTAATGTGGTGGGCTGATAAGGAAAACCATGCCGAACTGTCTGAAAGAGAAAATACTGAAAATAGTCATCAGGGAAATAAAAACTGAAGTCACAACAAGATACCACTATCCAACCAGCAGAATGACTAAAATAATTATTTAATTTTATAAAAAAGACAACCAAGTGTTGTTGGCAGGAGTGTTAAATCACAAAAACTTTGGGAAACATGTTGCAGTTCTTTAAAAACTAAACATATACCTGTCCTATGGCCTAGAAAATTTACTCCTATGTATGTAACCTAGAAAATGACGAGCATATGTCCACATATTAATTTGTATAAGTACGCCCCTAACAGCTTTAACAACCTAGAAAAAACTCAAATAACAAGAGAACCAAACATCAAAACTGTGGTATATGCATACAATAGAATAACTCAACAATTAAATAATAAAAACTAATGACAGAAACAAAAACTTGGGTGATTCTCAAGAACATTATGCTAAGTAAAGGAAGCAATACACAAAAGAGTATGTGTAGTATGAATACAAATATAATATAAACAAGCAAAACTAACCTATGGTGAAAAAAATCAGAACTGGTTTTGACTTTGACCACTTGGTTTGACAAGTGGTTGACTTGAGGAGAACTGACTAGAAAGGGCATAAAGGAACTTTACTAAGTGAAGGTAATATTCTATGTTCTGATAAGGTTTGAATTACACATGTGTATACTTTAGTCAAAACTCATAAAATGGCATAATAATATTTGTGCTTTAACATATAAATAATATGAGTGTTCCAGTATAATTCTTTCAACTCCACTGTATGTTTGAAAGGTTTCATAATATCACAATAGGAAAGAAAGAAAAGAAAAATATAAAGAGCTCATAATATCACAAAAGAGATAAGACTAACATGTGAAAAAGGAATATGCAATATGAATTAATTTCAAAATGAAATATGCTAGAACCTTTAAAAACATTGAGGACCCACATAGCTCAGGAAAAAAGAGATTCTATATCTTGTTCAGTCAAATATTTAGTGCTACAAAAACTATTTTTAATGGAAATATTTTTATAATATATTGCTTTTGTAAATATTCAAAGATGAAAAGATTAAACATAGCATGTAGTTTATCTAAAATTCATTCCCCAGATAAAATAAGTAGAGTTTATTGCATAAATTCCTCATTTTCCTTTAAAGCATATAAGTATATGCAAAAGCATATTAACTAATATGTAGCCAAATCTGTATTTTTCTTACTTAATAGCACATTATGGAAATATTTCCACAAAAAAACACTTTTAGAGGTACTTCAACCTATTTAAAGATTGTAGAGCTCATTATAGTATGAATATACCACAGTGTCTTTAACCAACGAACTATTGTTCTATAATCTCCAAAGAATTCTCAACTAAATTGGCAAAAAATATACTTAGCAACAAAACCCACTTTCTATTCATGATCCTTAACTGAGGTGTTTCCCTCTTCATTCTCAATTGTCCTTGTTTTGACTTATACACAAAATTGTCAAGAGGAAGAGACTCATAATTCTCATGCAGATCAATGTGGATAACAATAATCAGAATATAGTTTCTCTCAAAAAAAAAAAAAAAACCAGAAGAGGTGGGAACACTTCCCAACTCATTTTATGGCCAATTCCAATAATTCTGGAAACGAAGTCATCACAAGAAAAGAAAACTAAAGACCACTAATTATTAATTAATATGGGTATAAAAATCCCCCCCAAAAAATAATAGCAAGCCACTCATCAGCAGAAAAGTGGAAGATTTACAGAGCATGGCCCTGCCCACCAGAGCAAGACCCACTTTTCCTGATAGCCAGTCTCTCCCATCAGAAAGCTTACACAAGCTTCTTATCCTCATCCATCAGAGGGCAGACAGAATGAAAACTACAATCACAGAAAACTAAGAAAAATGATGACAAGGATCAGTCTTGCATAACTTAATGAAGCTATGAGCCATGCCATGTAGGGTCACCCAAGATAGATGGGTCATGGTGGAGAGTTCTGACAAAACGTGGTCTACTAGAGAAGGAAGTGGAAAAAAACTTCAGCATTCTTGCCATGAGAACCCCATGAACAGTATGAAAAGGCAAAAAGATCTGACACTGAAAGATGAAGCCCACAGGTCAGTAGGTGTCCAATATGCCACTGGAAAACAGCAGAGAAATAGTTCCAGAAGGAATGAAGAGGCTGAGCCAAAACAAAAACACCATCCAGTTGTGGATGTGTCTGGTGGTGAAAGTAAACTCCAATGCTGTGAAAAACAATACTGTATAGGAATCTGGAATGTTAGATCCATGAATCAAGGTAAATTGGAAGTGGTCAAACAGGAGATTGCAAGAGTGAATATCAACATTTTAGGAATTACTGAACAAAAATGGATGGGTATGGGTGAATTCAATTCAGATGACCATTATATCTACTACTGTGAGCAAGGATCGCTTAGAAGAAATGGAGTAGCCCCCATAGTCAACAAGAGTCCAAAATTCAATACCTGAGTGCAATCTCAAAAGTGACAAAATGACCTGGGTTCATTTTCAAGGCAAACCATTCATCATCACAGCAATCCAAGTCTATGCCCCCAAACATTAATGCCTGAAAACAAGAAGTAGAATGGTTCTATGAAGACCTATAAGACCTTCTAAAACAACCCCCCACAAAAGATGTCCTTTTCATTATAAGGGACTGGATGCAAAAGTAGAAGTTAAGAGATACCTGGAGTAACAGGCAAGTTTGGCCTTGGAGTACAGAATGAAGCAGGGCAAAACCTAACAGAATTTTGCCAAGAGAACGCACTGGTCAAAGCAAACACCTTTCAACAGCACAAGAGATGACACTACACATGGATTTCACCAGATGGTCAACACCAAAATCAGACTAATTATATTTTTGCAGGCAAAGATGGAGAAGCTCTATACAGTCAGCAAAAACAAGACCAGGAGCTGACTGTGGCTCAGATTATGAGCTCCTTATTGCCAAATTCATACTTAAATTGAAGAAAGTAGGGAAAACCACTAGATCATCCAGGTATGACTTAAATCAAATCCCTTATGATTATACATTGGAAGTAACAAATAGATTCAAGAGATTAGATCTAATAGACTGAGTGCCTTAAAAGCTACGGACAGAGGTTCATAACATTGTACAGGACGCGGTGACCAAAACCAAACTCAAGAAAAAGAAATGCACCAAGGCAAAATGGCTATCTGAGGAAGCCCTACAAATAGCTGAGAAAACAAGAGAAATGAAAGGCAAAGGAGAAAAGGATATACATACACATCTGAATACAGAGTTCCAAAGAATAGCAAGAGAGATCAGAAAGCCTTCTTAAGTGAATAATGGAAAGAGGTAGAGGAAAACACTAGCATGGGAAAGACTAGAGATCTCTTCAAGAAAATGAGAGATACCAAGTGAACATCCCATGTGAAGACGGACAAATAAAGGACAGAAATGATATGAACCTAACAGAAGCAGAAGATATTGAAAAGAGGTGGCAAGAAAACACAGACCTGTACAAAAAAGGTCTTAATGACCCAGATAACAACAATGGTGGGATCACTCACTTAGACCCAGACATCCTGGAGTGTGAAGTCAAGTGGGCCTTATGAAGCATTACTAAGAACAAAGCTAGTGAAAGTGATGGAATTCCAGCTGAGCTCTTTCAAATCCCAAAAAAGGATGTCACTAAAGTGCTGCACTCAATACACCAGCAAATTTGGAAAACTCATCAGTGGTCACAAGACTGGAACAGGTCAGTTTTCATTCCAATCCCAAAGAAGGGCAATGCCAAAGAATGTTCAAACTACCACACATTTGTGCTCATTTTACATGCTATCAAGGTAATGCTCAAAATCCTTCAAGCTAGGCTTCAAAAGTAAGTGAACTGAGAACTTCCAGATGTACAAGGTGGATTTAGAAACGGCCAAGGAATCAGAGATCAAATTGCCAACATCTGTTGGATCACTGAAAAAGCAAGGAAATTAAATTACAGAAAATCATCTACTTCTACTTCATTGACTACACTAAAGCATTTGACTGTGTGGGTCACAACAAACTGTGGAAAATTCTTTAAGAGATGGGAACACCAGACCACCTTATCCTGCCTCCTGAGAAACCTGTATGCGGGTAAAGAAGCAACAGTTAGAACTGGACATGGAACAACAGCCTGGTTCCAAATTGGGAAAGGAGTATGTCAAGGCTGTATACTGTCACCCTGCTTATTTAATTTATATCAGAGTACATCATGTGAAATGCCCAGCTAGATGTCACACATCAATTAGATTGATGGGAGAAATAGCAATAACTTCAGATATGCAGATGACACCACCCTAATGACAGAAAAGGAAGAGGAATTAAAGAGCCTCTTGATAAAGCTGAAAGAGCAGAATGAAAAAGCTGGCTTAAAACTCAACATTCAGAAAATGAAGATCGTTTTCTATTTCACAGCAAATAGATGGGGAAATGGTGGAAACAGTGACAGACTTTATTTTCTTGGGGTCCAAAATCACTGTGGACAGTGACTGCAGCCACAAAATTAAAAAACACTTGCTCCTTGGAAAAAAAGCCATGACAAACCTAGACAGCATATTGAAAAAACAGAAACATCACTTTGCTAACAAAGGTCCATATATTCAAAACTATGGTTTTTCCAGTAGTTGTGTATGGATGTGAGAGTTGGACCATAAAGAAGGCTGAATGCCAAAGAATCGATGCTTTCAAACCGTGGTGCTGGAGAAGACTCTTGAGAGTCCCTTGGACTGCAAGGAGACCAAACCAGTCAATCCTAAAGGAAATCAACCCTGAATATTCATTGGAAGGACTGATGCTGAAGCTCCAATATTTTGGCTACCTAATGTGAAGAGCCAACTCATTGGAAAAGACCTGAATGCTGGGAAAGATTGAAGGCAGGAAGAGAAGAGGCTGACAGAGGATGAGATGGTTGGATGGTATCATCAATTCAATGAACATGAGTTTGAGCAGACTCTAGGAGTTGGTGAAGAACAGGGAAGCCTGGCATGCTGCAGTCCACAGGATTG